GCTGTCGAGGTGACCACGTTACTCTGCAGTCCAATCACTCGCAAATGACGGAAGATCTGCATGGACTGCCTCACTCTGCACTGCCACAAGCACCACATAACCTGTTCATTGACCTGGTAGGATTGCCCAATCTCACAGGCCATATTTATATAGGTTTGTATCATGCCACCAGCAGTGGTGGGACTAGTGGTAGTTGGCAGTTGCTGTAGCAGTGTTTCAGGCCACCCACTAAGCGAGTCAATGGCACAACAAAACCATGGGATGGCATGTCATCACAACCAAAAAGCCTCATCCTACACCGTCCTAAATGACTTGACCTCTATCATAACAAGGCCGAGCGCTCCAGCCCTGGCTGTCCAAGCTGCTGCCAGTGTTGGGCATTTGCACTAATGGCTGCATTGACGGCCATCAAGTCCTGAGTTTCACGAAACAAGAGAAAACGCTCCTGAGGCAAACATAGCGTCGAGTTTTGTCCTCACACACAACCAGATCAACCAGAGCAGCTGAGAAGCTGTTTGGAGGTCATGAGAGCTCATGTCTCGGAGCAAGTGTAGGGCACCCTGCCATTGGCTGCCACGCTCACACGCGCTGGCAGCAGAGCAGTAGCTGATCGCATCCAATCGGGGCGGTCGCATCAGGCCTGAGGGGGAAAGGCAACGTGCTTGGAGTTTAGGGGGCAAAGCAACGTGCACGTTATCCGCTCCACGGACGTTTCCTTTTTGAGGAAAAACAACATCCTTACGAAGTGCAAAGGAAAGGCTCCAAAGAGATAAACCGCCATCTGCCAGGAGTCTCCCTTGACGCAAGCAGTGATTGCTGAATTGTACGTAATCTGATCAGCCTGTACCTCTAGGCTTTCCAAAGTCGAGAGCAAAAGCACAGCTGTTTGCCATGGCCCCTTGCACGCGCTAAGCGCCGCGTTGAAGCTGATGACATCCACCATTTGTTCTTTGCACATCTCGCCAATGAGCTGCATGGCGCGTTGCCACTGCATGCTTCTGTCGTACGCAGTGATGACTGCGTTACAAATTCCAGCTGTCACAGCTGAACATCTTTTCGCCTCCATGAGCAAGTGGCAAGCACCTTGCCAGTGCCCACCCTTTCCACATGCACTAATTGCTGTGAGGAATGTAATGGCACTCTCCCGTAACCGTTTGGAATGCAAGGTTGGCAAAAGTTGCAACGTTCTTTCCCACAGGCTAGCCCCTGCACAGGCAGCCATTGCAGCATTGTATGAGACAATACTGGGCTGCAATCTTCCATGCTCCAATGAGCACAACAGTTGCAGAGCTGCTTGCCATTTCCTTTGCTTTCCACAAGCACTGATTGCAGCATTGTAGGTGACAACGGCTGGCTCAGTGAATTGGCTAATTTCAAAGACAGCTTTCTGCCAACATGTGTTTGAGCTCATTTTGGCTATCTGGTTCAAACAAACACGTGATTGGGAAAGAGACAAGCACTAGCCTTGCCTAGCATGTTGCCAAAAGGCCAGCATCACACAACAGCGCAAAGCCCGTTGAGGCAGCTCGGGTCCTTCTTCTTTTGAGGAAGCATAGTATGTCCACCCCTTCACCAATCCTCGAAAGCCGCAGTGTCATTCTGCAACTCTCAAAACTTTGAACCTGCTCCATCTCTCAGCAGTATGCATTGTTGCAAGCACGCATGCGCGCACGGTTGCCTGTTCTATCAAAAATGTTTGCAAGAACTGCATTTAGGAAAACTGACTTTGCACAATTTTGTGCCGGCCACGACACCATTCGCTTCTGGCTCAACCTGGCCCTCCTGCGTGCCGATTTGTCTCTTGATCTGCATGCATTTGGGTGCTAGGTGTAGATCCGAGATCCTATCAAAAAGAACTGAAGCATCCTGCAACGGCATTTGCCCTTGCCTCTAGCGGCTAGAGGTGTTACATACCGGCAAACAACATCAAACAAATGTCACGAGATGACAAAGGTTTCAGACCCATAGCGTTTCATTCCATCTGTTCCGGTGTGGAGACCAGACACATCCAGCGAAACTGGCCGCGTTCAACCGCTGCTCCTGCTCCTCGTGTTCAAGCTCTACAATGCGAACACGCCGACGGAAGCACGACCTTGATGCGGAGCTCAGGAAGTGGTGGCAAGTTGCTTCTAGCAGCAAAATCAAACATGCCCATCCAGACCAACTAAAAGCATTGAGTCCGACCCGCACTCTACGCAAACACCAACAATCATCCAAACGCTCCGGAACTGAGCAAGGTTGCTCTTTGCTGGAACAGGTAGTGGTATAAGTAGCCAGTACATCACTGTACTAGTGCAATTTAGTGGAGGGTCACCTTTTTGCAGACTGTACAGAAATTGGAAACACGTTGCAACACCATTCAAGGGAAACGAAAGAAACTGATGTGCATGATACGAATGAAACGATGTCGGAAACAGAATCCTCGGCGCAGCCAGGGTGAACCATGAGCTCAACACCCTGATAGAATCAACAAAGAAGGTGGTCAATCTGAATGAAACATAATCCACGGGGCTCTAGTCGCAGGATCTGTAGGAGCCTGGAACAATGACGACTGCATGGTGTATTGACCTCACACAGTGCTGTGGGGTGTTCGAACAAACGTATGGCTCAAGAAAAAGGTGCTGAATCCACAAAAAGAAAACATGAGCAATCATTGAGCGTCCCGAAAGGTTATTGCTTTCGCCATTTGAATGTAGAAACCCAGTGTCATAGAATGGCTCAAGCCATTCTCACAAAGTTGTCATTTGGGATTCCCAAATCTGTGGTTTTGGGTTAGGACGGGCTCCCCCATAATCCTTTGTAGTGGCAACAACTGGTTGCTCTTGTGAAGCTGCACGGTTCAAACTTTCTTGACTCAGTAGGTGGATCACGGTCGGCCTCTGTTTGATTTGAAAGGCATTTTAGAAAAGAACATGTTGTTTTTCATGAGCGAAATCTCAACAACTGCCCGAAAACACATGTGGATGGAATTCCTTCTACCTACACAACGCTTTCGAATGGAATGATGAAGAGTGTGCCTTCCGCAAGAAGTGAGCATTCCGATAGTCAGCATTCGAATCTGGGCGGTCCAGGGTTATTCGCCATCCAGATGCCGCGAAGCGAACCCGTTCAGGCTCCTTGCGAAGTGTTCGGGGATCCAATCGAAAGTTCAAAACCAATAGCAACAAGAAGCTACTAGTAACAAGTGCCACGCTACTAGTAACAAGTGCCTTACTAGTAGTAACAATGTTCGCTACTAGGGGCTCCTGGCATCGCTACTAGGAGCAAGGACGCTATTAGGGGCTCCCGGCCGCACTATTAGGAGCAAGGACGCTACTATATAGTCACAAATACCAGGGGGATTCATGCTGTCAATAGACACCTGATCTTGGTTCTCACAGTGCACCCTGAAACGCCACAACCTACTGCTATGAAGTTTTCAGCGTGGAAACAAGTCAGAAACATGCAACCCTGATTCGCACCGTACTGTAAGCTTGTTGCAAACCATGGGTCTGAGTGCGTGATGTCAAGAAGTGGAGAGGATTGGGTGTGCCACAAACAGAGCCACAAGCGCTTGATGCCGCTCATGACCTGTGATGCAACGGTGCAGTGGCGAAAGGGTGCTGCCAACGGGGCTACTAGCAATACAGCAGAACCTACCTGAGTTTACCTGGACACAATGAATACACACATCTATATCGGACATCAAAGAAAACGAGGCAGTGGTAACTTGCCAGAGAAAATGTCCTGACCTTGACTCTCTTGCCCCCCTGGCCTGATTGATCAGCCGATCGATATACGAAATCAACAATGTGCTCGGCACCTTTGTGCTTTGAGCCGATCAAGCCAGCTCCATTCTTCCAAAGCATTCTTGAGAGAACTCCGAAGCACTGAGTAATAGCCAGTTTCGGCTGAGGCACTGCAAAGAAGGCAGCCCAACACAAAGGCGTGACCGTCTCGCGGAGGTTTCTGACAGAAAGGATAGATCTGATGGCATGTTTGTTGCGGGATCTCTGCTGCTTTGACAGTCTCTTCGGCTTTGCCTTGTAAGATAAACAAAAACACCGAAGCATACGATCATCATAAAGGCCACCTTGGATGAGAAAAGACAAATGTTATTCTCGGGTCACTCAGTGTCTTTGTGCGTGCAAAAGCTGGGGAGCAGTTGGTGTCTGCCTTTTGACAAATGCAAATCTGTCACTGTCTGACACAAAGAGCTGGCTTGGGTACTCTACGAGGAGAATGTAAGGGAACATATTGAACAGAAGCATCTCACCTGAAAACCTTCCGTTCTCCAGAAGGCTTATCTCCAAGATACAAAGGCAAAATTTCTCTGGAATTCCTCCATCCGAGGTGCCATGGCTTCAAGACAGGCTGTCCAAGCAAGCAAGCAAGCAAACAAACAAACAAACAGCGTTCAACCTCTTTCGTTCTTGGACCAAGGCTAAGTAAGACATTGGGTGCGCCTCCTGAACATGACTTCATGCACAACCCGTACAGCCCCTTAATGGCTAAAACAAAAACGCACATTCGGATGCATAGCTAGTAACTAGTATTGGCTAGTAGGTGCAACTTGGAGGGTCAAAGTCACGCTGAGATAGCTGATTCACAGCAAGTGAACAAATTGAGCTGCATGTTGAGAAACACTGTATCCTACCTAACTGCGACACATAGCCCACTTCGTGGGAATTGTATAGGACTCTGAGGATACTCAGTGTGACAAGTGATTCGTTCGCTTGCCGATGCTGAGGTCTTGCGTCTCAAGTCAAATTCTGCGGCATATCAGTCCTGCTATTGAAGCTGTGCAAACAATATCAATCACAGTCACCCCTTACTTTCTTTTTGAAGTGGTTGATTGACAAATCAGCACTCAAAAGGCTTGCACACCGGTCACCACCTCCACTGACAAAGATCAAACATGTTAGACAACATTAAGAAACATTAGCAATTGTGTAGTGCCTCCATGGGGCTTCTACCGATAGCGCGAGGCCAAAAAAAGCATCGCAGGACTGGTGTCGCACCAAAGTCGCTGAGGGCAACATGGCACTGCGGATCTCTGAAATCCCGGATCGTCAGCAGAAAATTGTCGCCCTGAAAAACTCGGATCTGCTGCACGTCACCAATCAACTGTTCACAGAGGTAAGGTTGCAATCCACAAGATGCTTTTGTATATCTGTTGCAATGGCAGACGCTGCCCAATCGAACTCGACAGTCGAGTGTGAATCGGTTGAAGGCTTTCGTGCCTTGATGTCCCGGTGTACGATGTGCTTGCCATGAAGATACTGGATGGATGCGACCATCTGGCCAACGCAGTTTCAACTGAGTCATGTTTGCAGTGTTGGTTTTGAATGTAAAAGCTCCGTTCGTAGCGTCCTTGCTCCTAGTAGTAAGGCCAGGAGCCCCTAGTAGCTTCTTGTTCCTAGTCGCGATGCCAGGAGCCCCTAGTAGCGCCCTAGTAGCCCCTTGGGAAAAGGGAAAATGATAAGTTTACAAGGGTGGAGTTTAGCTCTTGATGATCTTGATGGCAGACGAGAATACCGCCTGGTAGCTCACATGAATGATATCTCTGGCATTGATCTTGCCACGCTCCTGGCATTGGGAATGTATGGGGCAGCCATCCGGTATTGGAAATTTGGGCCCTTTTACGACCTGAACTGGTGCTGGCAAGAGTGAGATGATTCGGTGCATCATTCTCACATTTCATCCCCCGACCATCCAAGAAACAACCTGAGATGCTTGTCCTGCAGGTGAGTTTGCATGCCGTCAACCAAGTCTCCTGCCAAATCCACGTCAAGTGTGAATGGAGAAAGAGGCCGTGGTGCCAACAGCAACCTGTGAGAAAGGGTAGTTCAGGGAGCCTAACCAAGTAAAATGTATTACAACTTGAAGAGTTCTTTCACGCTTAGCACTTTTCATCTGGAGAGTGCAAAGTCCTCCAGAGTACTTGTCCATGACGATGCAAACGAAGCACCTCCAAATGAATGCGAGCTGCTAGCTTGACATTACCACTCAAAAAAGAAACTCCCTGAACTAGCATTGCAAAATCTTGGTTTGCGCGCGGCATGCAAACACTGCTCTAAAGCTGGAATCTCGTTCTTGGCTCAAATAGTTGCAACCCGAGGCCAGATTTTCTTCATTTTTCTTCTGGATTCAATCTAGCCAGCTCTGGCCTTTCAAAGTAGACTGCGTGGAAGCGGACGATGTTCTCGTGGTGGAGTGTCTGCGGAAGTGTTGCAAGTGTGGCAGAAACCATCGAATGGCTGTTGATGTACAGTATCTGCTTGTCTGATTTTGAGAGAAAATTGAAGTGAATTCTCTTTCATTTCGAGCAACCTGAGGCCCGCCTTCATGAGCTCTGCCTCTCGGCGAATCACCTCTGAAGGCGTTTCCACCTGGAAACAAGATCGAAATGTTCCTATGCCATTGGAATATTCACCTGAAATTCCGTTCTCAATGTCCCTCCTCTCTCTCTCTCTCTTAAGAGTAGAAAGCGTTGGTCACACTTCACTCCTGAAATCTTGATCCTTTAGAGTTGCAATAGCAAAATAAGTGAGCTCTTCTCAGCCATTGCAACTGATCTGTCTATATACAGTAGATATCCGGGGAACTCGACAACCAGCTATGTTCATCATTCTCAATATTGTTGTGCTCCTTATCAATCTGATTCACATTCGTCCACATGGTACCAAGCCCGGCCTTGTCCACCATCTTTACAGCCACCTGCAAAACTGCAATTCTACACAAAACATCTGCCCTGGCTCCATAATGTGACTTGGACCATCCAGAAGGAAATGCCCGGACAAGCCTTTCGATCGATTGAGCATCTGATTTGTCCAACATACTCATAGGCAAGTTCCAATCATAGAAAGAACATATTGAGCGAAAGTTTGACCAGTTCTGGCGCAGTTTGACTGCCTGCCTGACGGCCACTTTTTCTGTGGGTGCAAGCCTTGGTGCCACTTGATGCTGCAAGAAAGGCAAAAAGTGCGCTTCTGTCTTTTTGGAGGTGACTAAAGGGTACAAAAAGAACAGCCCCAATCCATTCCTGGGAGCAAGGTCTCGACTGTCTGTGCACTTGTGGTAGCAAAGGTACGGATGGTGTGAATTGCATCCATTCCAATTGAGTGCCAAGGCTTTCGCATGCTTTTATATATATATATTATATATATATATATGTTTTTACTAGCAATGGCCTCCAACCCAATAGAGATGGCCTCCAACCTAATAGCCATGAAGCCAGGCCAGGCGACTGAAAACGAAAAACTAAGAACAACTCCTACTCGGATCTACTCGCTGATTGGCCCTATGGCCCTATTGCTGCAGTGCTTCAGCGCAGTGAAGCCTGAGTAGCTTGCAACTTGCTACCTTTTCAGAAAATTAAATCCATGAAAGGGAGTGTATAGGTTCCCATTTCAAGAGTACCTGGCTGACTCTTCTGGCAAACTTGCTGCAAGGGGCATAAACGACACCGAAGGCTCCTTCGCCTAGAGCTTCACCAACAGAGTATTCCTTGTCCAAAACTCGGTGAAGGAGTCCCTTTTCTCTCTACCGCACTGGAGTCCATTAGTTCAACAGCTCGAAAACCCAACCAAACGATGCTACATGTTCGAAGGCTCAAAATCCAATGCTTGAAACCTGCAGACTTATCTGTCTCTTCATTTGTCCTCCAGAAGCCGCCTGCTGCTGACCCTAAGTCAGGGAGCATGATTGGTGACAAACGGAGTGACCAAGCGAGTGTCATTGGCCGAAGCAAAAACACGAAAAAAATGTGACTAGTATTTTCTTGTTCCTAGTAGTAAGGCGAGCTACTAGTAGCGATGCCCTTGTCGTCCGTGGAGACCTGCAGCTCTCAGTCCCTGGCTCATCGCTCGTCGCTTTCAGTCCCAAGGAATGGCCCGAAGTACAGCTGGTCTGCAGAAACGGCATCTCTGGACTCTGGTCTGGACAAACTCATTACCTTCACTCCATATTCAATGCTTGCGGCAACTTCTTCAAGAGCTGATTGGCATGTTCCCACAACAATTAAGACAAAATCCCGGCAGATGTGTATGGGCAAAGAATCGGGCACGGCTTGCAAGGTGCAAAGCAGCCTGCTTGCTAGCCTGCTTTGTAGCCTTCAAATCTTCCTGAACATGGCTGCTGCTGCACATCTTTCAATTTCACACCGGGCTGATTGTCAAATTTTGGCTCACTTGAAGCACTCTGAAGCCTACCATGCCTGGACCAGAGAGTGTCATTCCAATATCCCTCTGCATACCAGCAGGTCCATACTTGAACAGGGTCACTCTCCGCCTCCGTGTCCTTTTGCGAGAGACTGAAGCCCATCCTATGGCCGTAGTCCATCCAGGGCTTTTCTAGGTCCGATGGAGCTACAGATGGAGTTGGACTCATCTGAACATTAGACCGCTCAACCACTTCGTTGCTTCATGAGCTATTGGAGCTTTACTGTTGGAAGTCATAATCTGACGGCAAGCAGCAAAAGTAAAACACTCTTGATATTAGAGGCCCAAGTGGCCACCTCCGTGGACAACCAGCCTCAAACCCAGCATGGATTTGGCTGTGGCAGCCGCACTACCCAAACTCTTCAACATGTTGCCTCAGCCGGTTGCTCAGGGAACAAGGGTTCTGAGGTGACTGCCCCCTGTCCAGTCTCCGTTCGAGACAAAACAAGGGCAGCCCGAACCATGCAAACAAAGAGCATTCCGAGATTGCTGATTAAATCATATTAAATCTGATTAACCTACAAACATCAAGGAAAAAAGACAGACAGCCAAGGTGCATCTGGTGTGACCAGAAGCATGAGCGTACTTTCTGGTGCTGCTAAGTGTTTGCTTGGGTACGTGTGGAGAAATGAAAGCGCAAGAGCACATCTGCTTTGTGGTGTCATGATGTATCTTTTTTTCTCAGGTTTCTGCCAGTTTCGTACCTCTACCTGTCCAAGTCATGGACAGAAGCAATGAGGCAATGTACATGATAGCGTAGACAACATCGCTCATCGACTGATGATAATAGGATGAGAAGAAGAACATTGATGGCACTGACAACTGAATGCTTTGGGCACTTGATTCTACTCTTCGGATATTCCAGGCCTCACATGTTCCAGCACCTTTGATACGTAGCCTGCCAAGCTGCATAAACATGTGATAAACATGTGAGCTACTCGCAAAGTCATGTTGTCTCACATCACAAAGCATTACCAAGTCATGTGATTTGGGACGCGTTCCACCACTCTCTCTAGAGGACGCGGATGGAGACCATTCGCTCGAGACCGGTTCCGAGTGATGCGAAAGTGACCGTGGCCCGGTGGACGAGAAAAACACGCATTCGGCCTTGCTGAACTTACGTCGCAGCAAAGCCAGCGTGGCCACAGAGGAAAAGTTTTGGAAAGTGACCGTCTTTTACAAATACACTATCTTCAGGTCTGATGTAGCTGTTAAAATGCGCCCGCATTGTAACCCCAGGCCTATGCTGCTACAAGCAGTACTAGCACTCTCTCCTCAACTCTGCTGTTTTTGCCGATCGACCAGGGCAAGATAGCCTGGGGTCAAAATAACATGTCTTTATGCTTGTTATGTAGTCCTCTTGGAGCACTCTGAGAAGAGCTGCAATCGCGCTGGGAATGACAGCGTATTTCGAGCTGATCAGTTCAGAGTTCAGAGGGCACAACATAGACTTGTCCCTTGTCACCTATGCAAGGTGCCACTGCTTTTTTGCTACCATGCAGCATCATTGGACGCACCAAGATGAGAATTTGGAACATTGACCCCAGTGTCATGGGTGGCAATCGGCGCCATTGGCCTTACATTTGTTTGCACGTTAGCCATGCAGATTTGTTCAATTGTGCCAAGCCCACGGACACAGTACTGCCTGCGACCTGGCCATGTCAGTCGCCCTATTCACAAAGCACAGAGGGTTCGCAGCATTCTTCCTGGCGTTTCTGACGATGTACAAGCCGGTGCTCACTCTCGCCCTCACGTGCTGGGACCCTCTGGACCGTGAAATCGAACCTGCTTCGGTTCTCCCCGTGATGGAACCTACAGGTTGCCCCAAGATGTGATTTGACAGTTCTGACATCTCGCTAGCCTTTCCGGTTGGATGAAACAGATTGAGGAAACAAGAATAAGGGTTTTTGTTCACTTTTTCCAGTGCCACAAGTCCAAAGAGAAGTAGGCCGGCCGTACGTCTTTGCCCTCTTTGAGAAATTTGAGAGAATCGACGTACAACTGGAAGCCCTCTCACTCTTCGTCTGACCTCAGGGTTGCTCCAAAGACTGTCACAACTTGCTCCAAAGACCTCAGGCTCCTGTCCTCTTCTTGTTGCTAGTAGCTTCTTGTTACTACTAGTAAGGCCAGGAGCCCCTAGTAGTGTCCTTGCTCCTAGTAGCGATGCCAGGAGCCCCTAGTAGCTTCTTGTTCCTAGTAGCGCCTCCACACTCTGAGGATGCTGCACCACTATTTCCAGATTCTCCGGCCTGAAGCTGGCATTCCAGGACACACGTGAAAGAAAACTCGGTGTCCCAAAAGGACCTCGAGGACTAAAGGACCTCTTTGCTGGGGCTGTGTCTCATGGACCAAACCTTGCAGCCTCGAACATCAATGGTCAACCATCGGCATGATCTGGTATACAGTGGTATGCTGTGAGGTGTGAGGTGTGCCCGCGGCAGAAAGAGGCCTGCACAACCTGTATCGCTAGATTACCTGATGCAAATCTCCCTTGTTTCAGACGGCTGACCACGCCATTCTCACCCATATGTCCGATCTCTTGGGTGTCACACAAGCGCATTGCAGCTCGGTTCACCCCTGCGCAGAGATGAGAACCAAGCATGACATGTTGGCTGATGCTGTTCAACAATGGGCGCAAGGATAGGATCAGTTCAAGAGTCTAGGCCCTGCCAGAGACTGACTCGGAGAATGCACTGCAAGATGAAACATGTTCTCGTTCTTTGTGGCTAGAAATGACACAGGAGAAAATAGCATGAAAGAACATGTATATAAGTAGAAAAGGATAAGAGTAAACAAACGATGGACTGAATTCCTTGTAATTCTTCTTTACCAAGAACAGAATATGGACCATAGACTGGACCATAGCTGCCAGTGTGCCGCTGCTAAAGCGCAGGCTGAACTCGCTTGACATATGGTCTAGGATGATTCATACCCTTGATACAGTTTCAATGAGTAAGAAAAACAATCATGGACCATGACCATGGGAACAATAGCTGATAGCTAGTTTGGCATGAGTTCCTTCCACCCCACACCTGAGCTTGAGCTCATGGCCTTGGCCAGGCTTTGAAAACGCTGGCAAAAAAGGCAAAGAAACCTCGAATATGAAACTGCCTTGAACGAAAATAGGTTTCGCTGGACAAGTTCCAGGATACCCAAAGATGAGAGCACCTGGTTCTGAGCAGCGCGGATGAACGCGTGCCGGGCGTAGGTGCGGTTCGAGCGTGCTTGTCTCAGGTGTGTGCGCGTGAGTTGGGATGGCAGTTGTATGAGGGAACGGAAACTGAGGATTCGGAAGGTTGGCAGGAGGCAACAGTGTGCGGCGTAACTTGATCGGGGAACGGAATCAGAGGATGCAAAAATCTGTGCAAGCTAAGAAAGTACCGCAAAGTAAGACGAGATGCGTAGAGAAGAGTATCGAAATTCAAGTGAAAAGGGTCCAAATAGAGATTCCTAGAGACAAGTATCGAGAAGAAGATATTTCTGAGGACAACTATTTCATGCAGTAAGTAGAGAGTTCTAAAGAAAAGTATCAAAAGGTTCCGGTCAGCTGTGCAAATTATTACGGGCACGGGCACGAAGGATTCAGAACGAAATGTCACGGTTGTGGAGGATTGGCCTGAAGTGGTACATGTCAGGCGAAGCAAAAAGCTTCTACAGGAACCTGACAAAGTCATCCCTCAGTCATCCCTGGTCACTGTTTCAATGCCAAATCACCATGGCAACGCTGTTTCCAAAAAGTCATCCCCCAGTCACCCCCGGGAGCCAACCCGAATGTATGTTCCTTTCGGGGATGAAGTGGTGCATTTTGTCCCGGTTGTGAAAGTGATGCGCTTCTACAGCCGAAAAGTGACCTGAAAGTTGCCATCCACACTTGACCGATCACAACCAGAAACATGTTGTTTAAAGGCCCCGAGGGGGGAGGGCGCGAGGGGGCACGCGGGGGTAGGCCGCAGTAAGAATCGAGCTATTCAGTAGGCTAGTATGGACGCAGCAAAGCTCATGCTATTCATGCGGTTCCTAGAGTCTTGGGAAACTGGGCTTGAAGCTCTCCGCACTACACTTGACCACGAATCGCCACACTTCGCTGCCATCACCTCTGTGCACTTCACTACATCTGACATCAACGCAACCTAATTACATCTCATTTCAGTACATAAAAATTCATGGTGTTCAATTGCGCCACATGACAAGTCAGCACATCGCACATGTTTACACACCACATCAACAAATGACGCATTACAGGACATCGCAACATCGTATCACCTGCAACCGCAAAACAACACTTTCCAGAGCTTACCGTTCTTGAAGCTTCTGTCCACCGGCTGTGCCAGAGCTTATCAAACCGAACCCGACTCCGACACCCAAATGAACAGAAGTCATGAATGTGTATGAGATGTGAAACGCTGCCTGAGATACTGGAATCCTTGGCAATTTGGGTATTGGAGCAACTTGTGTGTTGAAGGCGCTAAGTGTTTGGCCTGTTCTTCACCAAGATCTGTGATGTCCCACCGACAGCTCGGGCATTCATGACCTTCAAAGAATTTCAAAAAGGAAAATCGGGGATCCACCTTGTGGAAAAAGAAACGGCTGCCCACATGTGATTGTTATCAACTAAGATTCTTGGCCTCTTTGTTTCACTGTCGTGCGCTGATAGCAAAAGTCTAGCAACTTGTGCCCTTGACACCCAGGTACGTGTTTCAGCACCGGCATAGGGCGCGAACGTTTTCCAAGCCATCCTTGACCGGGAGTTGCAGGAACCGCTTGTGAGTTTGATCAGAGTCTTAGATCTCTCAAGCACTCACCTTTTAGCATCCTTTTAACCCTTGTTCAAGAAAAGAAAAAAAGAATCCGATAACGTTCCCTTTAAATGAAAGGGACCCTTACCTTCTTATTATATGCCTTTTCTTTATTGCTTTTGGCATCATGCTTCCAAACCAGCACCCTCTAAAGATCACTTTTTGGGATTAGTGCCGTCTATCTAAGTCCACATCTTCCATCTTCCATTCCTGAAGACCCATGAAGTCAAATTAATGGAAAAACTTCCACCGGACTTGCCTGAGATACATCCAACGTGAAACGTGTGAAGACAAGGGGTCAATACCTGCAGGAGTGTGGAGTTCCAGGGTCTCCGGCATTGGCAGCGGTTGTGGTCATGATCTTCAAAGTTCTAGTACTTTGCAGTTGGGATTCACTTCTTGCTCTCCAAACTCTAGCATTGGAGCTTAAGACTCGCCGCTATCTCCTCTTCCAGATGATCCTCATCTGTCTCAACCTTCACCACCGCTTTACATGCCACACGGAAGAAAAACGAAGAGAGTCGTCAACTGGGCATCCAAGCGATCTCACTCGCTTGCCCTGATTCCCAGGCTGCAAAGTCCTCCATGCATATGGGGCCTGCAGATTGGGTCAAATTCGCTGTGTCTAAACCACTGAATATCACAAGGAACATCTTACCTTCAGATTTGGGCCATGTTCATTCTATTTCCCCGAATGAAGTGTACCGAATATCTGGCTTCACGTGTCAGGACCATCCAGATATGTAGGTTGGCATGCTAGTCTCTGAAGGACGGCACTGCGGAATAGGGACACAATGCAGTCCTCCAGTCCGCAGTACTTCAGTCCTCCCTACTGTCACCAAGACTGAAGCCCTCCAAAACTCTGGCTTGATCAGTGGCTGCTTTGCGGGAAGAGCCAAGGTGCAACTCTCTGGGTGGGGTGTGCCGCTGAAAAGGCCTGGGTGCTGGTCAGCTCACACTTCAGCACATGAACTTAAAAAATAATGTCGCTGTCGCTACATGGGTGTGTATGAAATGAAAATAGGACGTATTGTCAGAGTCTGCTGGTGCCACTAGCAAAGGAGAGCATAGATTAGACTCAGCGGTGAGGGGATATTCATGAGACATGCATCCCATATTCGTCACGAATCATTCACTTGACAAGCATATGAATTACACAGGATCAGAGCAGGTGGGTTCAATAAATCTATAAAGTATTTATGTAGAGTGTCGGGTTCTGGGAACCCGACTTGCAGAGTAGGTGACTCTTGGCAATTGCTCCTGAGCCGCGCACATGATGGTTTTGCCAGGATGTTGATCTTTCATGATTTTTGGGGGGATGTAGCGAACACCCGAGTAGTGATCTGCACTTGCAAAGATTAAACAGAAGTCAAGAGAAGT